GTGAGGGGACAGGATATGGAGTTTATATCAGGATTTAAGGAATTTGGCTCACGGCCAATTTTTGCTGCGTTTTGGGCTCAGGTTTTGTCTTAAGCCTGCTGGGAGGAACCTGCAGCTGGCTGGATCACAGAAAGATCAAGCTAGCCTGAGGTTTTCAGTCAAGATACAGAAAAAAAGCAGGGGGAGTTGGGAGACCCTACAATACTAAACAGGCACTTCACCAAAGAGCATATACAGGTGGCAAATAAGCCTGTGAAAAGATGTTCAACACTATTAGCCATTAGGGAAATGAAATTTAAAGCCATGATAAGATACTGCACACCTATTAGAATGACTAAAATGAAAAATACTGGCATGACCTAGTGTTGATAAAGACATAGAGGAACTGGATCTTTCATACATTGCTAGTGGGAATGCAAACTGATATAGCCACTATGGAAAATAGTTTGTCAGTTTCTTATAAAGTTAAACATGCACTTACCGTCCTACTCCTGGATATTTACCCTAAAGAAGTGAAAACTTAGGTTCACACAAAAAGCTATACACAAAAGTTCTTAGCAGCTTTATTTGTAATAGTCAAAACAATAGGTGAATGGATAACAAAATATTGTGCATTCATACAATGGAATAATATTCTGTAAGAGAAAGAATGAACAATCAATATAATAAGTTGGAGAATCTTGAGGGAATTACACTGAGTGGAAAAAGCCAGTCTCAAAAGATTATATATTTGATGTTGATTCCATTTATAAAACATTCTTTAAATGAAAAAATGATAGTGATCGAGAAAGATCAATAGTTGCTGAGGGTATTGTTGGGGGAGGGTATGCTATAAAAGGATAGCATGAAGGTGTTTCTTTGGGGTGATGGAACAGCTCTGTATCCTGATTGTGGTGCAAGTTATACTAATATGTATATGTGATAAATTTACATAGAACTGTACAAACACAATCAGTGCATGTAAAAACTGGTAAATCTAAGTAAGTTTTGCAGTTTGGTTAACAGTATTGTACCAGTGTCAGTTTGCTCATTTTGATATTTGTACTGTGGTGTGTCAGATGCTGTTGCCAAGTGAAGAGTACCCAAGAATTCTGTGCTATTTTTGTAACTTCTATGTGAGTCTAAAATTATTTCAAAATAAAAATTTGGGGGGGAAAAACCAGTGTTAAGAAAGTGGAAGGGCAAACCACAGACTGGGAGAAAATACTTGTAAAACATCTGATAAAGGATGTATATCTAGAATGTATAAGTAAGTATTACAGCTCAGTAACAAGAAGACATTCATATTGTAATAATGAGCAAAAGAAGTGAATAGCTACTCCACCAAAAAACCAAAAAATGATACATGAATGGCATATAAGCCCATGAAAAGATGCTTAACATCACTAGTATTAGGGAATGTAGATATAAACCACAATGAAATACCATTATATACCTAGTAGTATAGGTAAAATTAAATGATATCCACAAAAATGTGGAAGATCTGTAACTCTCATACATTGCTGGTGCAAGTGAAAAGTGGTGTGGCCACTTTTGAAAATAGTTTGGCAATTTCTTATAAAGTTAAATCTAGGACTCAGCACTCCCATCCAAGGTGATGAAAAAAAAAATGTACGTAAATGTTCATATTAGCTTTATTTATTTATTTGTTTATTTTTGCGGCTGGACAGTATGGGGACCTGAACCCGTGACCTGGGTGCTGTAACGCCACACTGTAACCAACTGAACTGGCCGGCCTACGTATTTAACATCATTTATAGTGATCCCCAAACTGGAAGCACTTCAAATGTCCAAGTGGTACATTCATACAATGGAATACTACTCAGTAGTAGAAAGGAATGGAGCATGGATTAGGGCAAGTGAAAGAAGCCTCCACCCCCCTGCAAAAATTACATGCTGTATGATTTCATTTATAAGAAGATCTGGAAAAGGCACAACTAAGCAGTTTATTGGTTGCTGAAGGTAGTAGGGGGGAGGTGGGTGGAGATTGACCATACAGGGAACATTTTGAAGTGGTGGAAGCGTTCTTTATCATGATTTTTGTGATTACAGGATAATACACATTTATCAAAATTCAAACGGTACTCCTTTCTCTCTCCCTGCCTGGGTGACTCATATTCAATGTTTAGATCTTACTTAAATGTCATGTTGTCCTTCATTGCCCTTATCACAGCTCTAGTTAATCAGCTTAAGATCTCTTTTTCTGTCTTAATTGTGAACTCTGTGATGAGTCAGATGCTAATTACTATTATGTTCAAGGAGCTAGCATAGTGCTTGAGTCAGGTACTCTGTTAAATATTGCATGAGTGAGTATAAGTATGTAAAGTTTTCTTTACTTCCTGTTCTTGGGAGTGGCAGCTGTGGCTTCTGCTGAGGGTTACCTACCCACTGACTGGAGCTGCCTGTTCAACCTTGGAGTCTGTCTGCTGCTGCTGCACTGCTCCTAAGGAGTTGTGACTATTGATGCTCAGCTGCCTGCCATGGCTTTGTTCAGACTTCATGTGGGCACCATGGGTTCCATTTCTGTTACTGGGCCACCTTGTTCTGAGAATAAAGAAGCCTTTCCTTGCCGTCATTCTTTTAGTAGAAAAGGAAATCTTCCCTAGTGCATGTTCCTGAATCTACTTAGCCTTTTTGATTTCCAGCAAGTTGAAAAACTCTGGAACACAGCCTTTGTTTCCTTACTGGCTTTGGTAGTAGTAAGTCAATTCCTGTGAAGCACCACAGAGTACCCCTTTCTAACCAGATCCTTAAAGAGAGGAACACAACTCCTCCAACTAAGCTTAGGAAATCTAATCTGCAGGCACAGTTTGACTGCTTGAGTAGAAGCCTGTTTAACCTTCCAGCAGGTGAAAACACCATCGACTGCACTTTATCTGCAGATATGATCAGAAGCTTACCAGAGACCGTCATTACTGTCTCCATGCCCTGGGGAGACCCCATTTCCAGGATAAATGTGTAGAATATTTGATGAAGGGCCTGATACCCAACACTTTCCTCTCTTCCTCTTCCCACTTCTCTTCCCCCTTATTTCCTTGCTCTAGCAGGCAAGCAGGAATTCAAGTTAAGGTAGGAAGTTGGTTAGAATGACCAGTACTCCTATTTGATCATTCTGTGTGCACAGCTGAGTGTTTAAATCATTACCAAAACTCCTTTCTTTAAACCTACGGTCTGTCCACTTAGAATTTGGAAGGCTTGTCATTTTTGACAGTCCTCTCTGGAATATGACATGACTAGTCCAGTTATTAATTTTGGAAGTGTTTCTTTGTACCTTTTTCAGTTTATCCAAATTTAATACCTCACTTATTTCTAACTTGTTTATCCTCTGTTTTAAAATTTATTCTGTTTAGACTTTTTTGTTTATTTATTTTTAACTCCATTAGACCTAAAGAATCCTTATTAGTTCTGTCTCTTTCATCTGGATTACAATAAGAGCCTCTTTCGTTTTCCTGTTCCACTCTTGCTCCCCCTCTCCCTGCAGTATAATCTCCAATAGCAGCCAGGAATTTGGTCAAGGCATTCTTGCTCTCCACCTCCCAGTGGCGTCCATCATACTCTACTGGAATTCATCTTACTGTAGTTAGTGGTCTGGCCCCAGGACATAGCACAGTACTTGGCCCATTGTAGGTGCTTGATATTTATTAAATTAATTTTTTGCATTATATATCTTACCAGTATTATTTTTTGTTAGCATTGTTTTACAACCACACACAGAGCAATTCTTTAGACCTGACTGATTTTATGGTTTATTGGAGAGGTGAGTAGCAGGTTAGAGCTGTCTTGTATGCATTTTGCAATAGACTACTTTCATTTAGTAAGGATGGATAATAGGTTCGTCAATAACCAGTACTCTAATGGGTAGAAAAAGACTGCCTTGACTTTTAATCTGACAGATGGTAAAGAACTGTGGTCTGAACTTAGATCGTAGTTTTCATGCCCCAATCAGGTTAGAGCAATATTGTTTTGTTTTGTGTCCTAATATACCAAATGCTTCTCTCTCTCTTCTTGATCTTATATTTTCTACTCTGCTTCTCATCCTTTCAACCATTACTGTCTTAGCATATACATTGCACCATGATGCTGTTGTTGGGGCAGGGGATCTGCCATAGTAGAAGCACTGTGATGCCTTGTGTTTTTTAGAAAGGCGTGTGTGCTAACTGACATATTAGCCTGGCCAATTATTGTTTCTTCCACTTGATGCTAAAGTCATTCAGTTAGTTTTTGATGAAAGCTTATCAATTCCTCACAAAAATTAAGTTGTAAAATTTTTTACTTAATTCAAAATACTTCACAATAAACACATAAAAAGGAATGATTTTAAATTTTTAAACTGTGGAAGTGACTTTAAAAATATTTTAGATTATGATTACTTGCTTTCTTCTGTTAGTCTTTCAGTAAGTTAAGATATGTATGTGTTTGGATAAGGAAAGTGTGGTAAATATATACACCATGAAATACTACTCTGCCGTGATCGAACAGAAGGAGGGAACATTCCTAGGGCTACAAAGTGGAGGGGGGTTGGGGGCAGGAGGTGGGGGGAATAAAAGCAGTTTCTGGTAATTTGTATCTCATGAATATTCATAAAAATAAATAAATGGGGGAGGGACATTTCAAAAGCCTGGTCCCACCTCCTAAAAATCATGTTCAGTAAAGCTAAGCCACGTCTTGGGCATCTATGCATTTTGTTTTTAATAATTTTAAAAAATTAGCCATAAAAAAAAAGGTATGTTTTAATACCAAGGACTTCTAGATTGGAGGAACTGTTTATTCTGATAAAAGTTTTTTTCTTAAAAAAAAAAAACTATTAGTCATTTCCTTAAGTTTGGCATATGCTAACCAAGGCTCTTGTATTTTTTCTTTCTCATTGTGTTTTTTAATGAAGCTGCTCTTTTAACATGATCTAGCAGTGTGTGTTGCTGTCAGTAAACAAAAAGTAAGTGTCTGAATTTTAAGATTAAGCAAGTTTATTTTGTTAATATCACATTTTATTCTATTTTGCAGCTTCTTGGTGAATTTTTGGATGAAGCCATTAAATTAATTGCTTGCCATCATGAGCAGAAGCAAGCGTGACAACAATTTTTATAGTGTAGAAATTGGAGATTCTACATTCACAGTCCTGAAACGATATCAGAATTTAAAACCTATAGGCTCAGGAGCTCAAGGAATAGTGTGGTAAGTTTTTACTTTCAAAAATTAGGCAAAAAATCATTAACTGCTACCTTTCCTCCTCTTATAGGTACAATGGAAAATATATAACTTGCCTCAAAAATTAAATTAAAACTATAAAAATTAAATGAAAGCTATGATAAGTTGTTTTCTTCAGGGATTAATGGTCTTCTTTAGTATTATTCATAAGACATAACTTTATAAACTAGCACTACCATTTTTAAGTATAAACTATGATTAAATACTTGGTCATGAGCCAGGTAAAGACTTAGTATCTATATCAGGAAACAGTAAGTGGTGTGCTCGCATACATCTATTCTGATGACTGATTGTTTAATGAGATGATCACTTAATCATCATTTTCACACTATAATGAAACTCTGAGGTTTCAGAAATCTTATTTTACACCGGGGAATGAAGTCAGCTAATATCATCTCACTGTATATATTTCAGAACTCATATGTATCTTTAAAATTGATCTACAAGCTAATTTCTTCAAAATGCCCAGGCCTTATTGATCAGCGTGATTCCTTATAAACTGAAATGTAAAACACTCCTTGGGATAGTTTTGCTAATGATTCTAGATCACTAAGTTAGCATAATAAGCTAGTGTTCTGGGGAATTCTAAGCCTCACTCAAGCATAATTATATCTTTATTACCTCTTCTTCAACAAAATTTGTTTCAGAATCTATTAAAAAATTATAAGTGTTTGTGACCCGGCACTTCTCCCAGCTTCTAGAAAAGCTCTTACACATATGTACGAAGGGCCATGCATAGGGCTGTTCTTTGCGGCACTATTAATAGTAGCAAAAATTGGAAATACCATCAAGTCTATCAATAGGAGAATAAAAAATTGTGATATAGTTATACACTGAAATACTTTACAACATTTGAAATGAACTAGTGCTATATGTATCAACAAGGATAATCTCAGAAATGTAGTGTTGAGTTTAAAAGCAAGAAGCAAAATATACATACACTATTGTACCATTTATATATAGTTTAAAATATGCAAAACAATACCATATATTTACAGATACATGTATATGTAGAAAAGATAAAAACATAAACACCAAACTCAGAATATTGCTTACCTTTGAGAATGGAGAAAAGGAAGGAGGCTTTACCTATATTTCTTTTAAAAAAATTAAGGGCAATTTTGGTAAAATATTAAGATCTAACAAATTCGTGTAATGGAAACACTGGCATTCTCTTTTCTGTGTTATTTGAGTAATTTATAATATCAAAAATTACAGAAGTTGGAGTCATTTTATAAACCATATTGGCTGGCTGGTTATTATTTTAACCAACCACATTTAACTGTTTAACCAATCACAAATTAAAGAAAGTAATATTATATAGTCAATATTAGGATTCATGAAAGCCAACTCTTGGTTCAGATTCTAGCTCTGTTGTTTGCTAGCTTTGTGACTCTTGGCAAATTAACACATCTAAGCCTTTTTCTCACCCAATTTACAAAGTTATTGTGGGGATAATATCATTATTATTTATAAAATACTTAATAGTGTTTAAAAATATATTAATGTTTCTGTACCTTCACGTATCCATTTAAGTGCATTTTGAAATTTGTGTACCAGAATTTTAAAAAAAAAAATTGCTTTGGAGGGGATCTTAGGTCCTCTTAACCAGCCCCTAAGGAATAAATATCTTCAAATTTTTGCTTCAAATAATAATTTCCATAAAAGATTATTATTATGAAATAGACAAATACTAAATACAAAAATTTCAAAACTCATTGTTGTGTTACTATCAGAATCAACTGAAGAATTTAATTAAAACAACAACAACAACATTATTTTGGGTCCCATGCATACATAGTAAGAGTCATCGAGCCTCTGAATCCCCAGATGTTTCTGATTTGTGCACGTTTAAGAATCAACAATTAGAAATCTAATTTCCTTGGATACAAAATAGTGGAAGCCACTCAGATACTTTTGAACTTTTAGAGTCTGAAATATTTCTTTGGCAGATAAAAAACCAACAGGAATGAATTTAATCGTTAAAAATAAATCCTGTTTTCCCTAATATGATCATCGCACATGGTGTGAATGTACCCAAATGTAATATTGTACTCCATAAATATATACAATTATCAAGGGTCAATTAAGAAAAAGAAGTTAGGGGGCTGGCTGGTCAGCTCAGTTGGTTAGTGCACAGCCTTTTAACATCAAGGTCAAGAGTTTGGATCCCAGTACTGGCCAGCTGCCAAAAAAGAAAAAAAAGGGAAAACAGTAGAATAGTGGTTACTAGGGGCAGGTGAAGGAAAGGGGGAGAGGGATAGGGAAAGGTTGGTAGACTGGTACAAAGTTAGTTAGATAGGAAGAATAAGTTCTGGTGCTGTAGGGTGACAGTAGCTAATAATAGTGTGTTGTATATCTCAAGATAGCCAGAAAAGAGGATCTTGACTGTTATAACCACAAAGAAATGATAAATGTTTAGGTGACAGATATGCTAACTGTTCTGATTGGATATCGTTATAAAATATATGCATATATTGAAACAACAAGCTGTACTCCATAAACGTACAAAGAAAAAAATTTTAAAATGTCGAAAATAATAAAACCTTTATTTGAAGACAGTCAAAACTTCTAATAATTTTACATGACCCTTAATATGGTTTTGTTTTATTTTTTTAACTTGGGCAGGACATACCTATAAATATGGCATTTTAAAGTAAGGATTGTAATATTTATGTATATTTTGTATATATGTGTATGTATATATGTATGTATATAGGCAGTAGTTAATGGTATATATGGAATGTATAAGATGTGTCCATTTATGCAGTACCAGTTTCTTAACACATGTAGTTCTACAGTATATTTGATATGATGAGATAGCTACAAAACAAATTTAATTTTCAGTCAGGTGAGAAAATAATGCTAATCAGTAATGAGCTGGCTTTCTAAATATCTCATAAACAGGAATAGTCTTCTATAGTATGTTAGGTGGTCTAGTATGAAAAGCATGGCCTCATGTCTTAGTCTTCTAGTCTCAGCTTTGCTTTTAACTTTCTGTCTAACCTTGAGCAAATTACTTAACTGCTTGCCCTATATTAGGCAGTAGTGAATCCAAACGATTTTTAAGGTCTTTCAATCATAAAATTCTATAATTTAAAGACACTTTACCTTATTTGTGCCTCAGTTTCTCTGACCTGTCATATGTGAAAGGTGCCATGTGGTTAGTATCATGGGGTAGAGGAAGATATGAGGAGTAGTGAGTATGATGTTGTATGTCCCAGTTATGAAGCAGCTTCTGAGGTCCTGAAATTAACATTCATATTTACAAACACCTTTATTTTTAGTTCCTCCTTTCTGCAAATTTTAAGGGCTTTATTTTCTTTTAATTGTAAAATAATCTTTTGTATACGTACCTCTATCTCTACCTTCCTCTTTCTCTATTCATTTTGTTGTGTCCAAAAGAAAGGAAGTAATGTATTTATGTAGAATTCTTCTGCAAATATTTTGAGGAGAATTCATGATCATGTGTACTCTTTATCCTGCCTTTCCTTGATGTAGGTGTAGGGTGCAGGATTCATTTAGGCTTTAAGTTATCTAGTGAACCCAAATATTCATTAAGCATTTGTGCATTAAATGCCCACTGTGTGCTCGGTGGATCTTGGAGGACACACAGTGAACAGGCAGGGTTTCTGTCTTCATAGTCCCTTATCTCTTTGGAACCATTAGCATTGTTGGAATATGCTGTAAAAGGTATAGAAGACACATGTTGAGCATCATAGACTGGAAAGTGATCTGATTGCATTTGTCGTTAAAGAAAGTGAGGATCTGCATGAGTGTTTCATAAATTCAGTTTTATAGATTTTTGCTTAAGTTTTTTTGTTTTTGAATTTCATATTACAGTGCCGCTTATGATGCCATTCTCGAAAGAAATGTTGCAATCAAGAAGCTAAGCCGGCCATTTCAGAATCAAACTCATGCTAAGCGGGCCTACAGAGAGCTAGTTCTTATGAAATGTGTTAATCACAAAAATGTAAGTGATCATTTTAGATTTCTTTATTATAGATGAAATGAAGATTTATTCACGAATATATCAATATTAAAGACTTTTTAAATATTAGAGGCTTCAAATTGTTCTGTATTGAAACATTGTTTAAAAGGGATAACCTTTTATAATCTATAATGAGAAGTTTTTTTAACTTTATTAAATCGTATCAAAAGAAAGATGTTGTCTGAAACTTAGTTTGTGTAATTTCTTAACATTGAATTTACAAAAGGAGTTTTAAAGAGGTACGTGTTTTAGAAGAACTTTATTCAACCTTGATCTCGTTGTCTGCTTTTTGTTCTCTATCAGGCTGACACTTCAGAAAACTGTAGTGTTACCACAGATATGAAATTGTTCCCATTTTACTTTAATACTAGAAATTTATCTAATCGTATTGGGTATAAGATTTAAATCACTTCTCCCTATCCCACTCCTACTTCTTTATGTGATGGCAGTACTCACTGGTCATGTTAGGTTGAAGATAGCCAGTGTTTATAAAGCAGTTTGGCAGAACTTTTTGAAAATATTTGAAGGGAATTAGAAAAACATTTCTAATTTTATTTCTTTTTTTTTTCGTCTTTTTTCGTGACCGACAACGGGATCACAACCCTCGGTGTTGCCCCCGCTCCTCGCTCAGCCAGTGAGCAGCCAGTCTGTATGTGGGATCCGAACCCTCGGCGGGAGCGCTGCCGCGCTTCCCAAGCGGTGCACTGTAGCAGTGCGCCACCGGGCCGGCCCTCTAATTTTATTTCTTAATGATTATAAAGGCTTAAAGATAATAACTTTTACTCATTTTGAGGATAAGCAGTTATATTTTTTAATTATACTGAGTAATTATATACTAATCATACTGATACTTTTATGATTATTTTATTTGAATGATTTCTCCAAGCCAAGAGGAGATAGACTAGGAGTGAATTATGCAAGGGACAGTTTTATGAAGTACTAAGCTAAAAGCGTCTGACTGGAGACATTTTGTGGTGTTTGGCCGCAGGAGTTTATAAAATATAATGAGCTCAATACTTCCTGATTACAGATAATACAGTTCACCACATTTTGAGAGCTATGTGCAAGCCTCTGTATATTGGAGTCATCAGGTTCGTCACTAAGGAGAGAAATTCACGGAAGTTAAGGATTAGGCTCCTTATTTGGGGAGCTCACAATGTTGTTCTGAAGACAAAACAAGTACATGAAGAGTTAAATATCAAACGTTACAAAGCAGCAGAAGTTTAATTGTCAAATGATGGTGGATGGACAATAATTGCTGAGATCTCGGGAGAGAGATTTCTGTGGGCTTTAATGAACTGAGAAGGATTTGGGGAAGAGTGCACCTAGACTGACTCAAAGATGAGGTTAAAATTGGATTGTTGAAGGAAGGGGGCCTCCTAGAGAGGAAGAATGGCCTAAAAAAAGCCCCAAGGCCCAGAGATAGAGGTTAAAGATAGTCAGTGACAGGGAAAAAGTTGTGGCAGCCATTCTTGTAACAGGTGGCTGCCGGACGTGTTGCTTGTCAAAGTTTTGCTGGTGACTGCCTACCCTTGGATACCCTCTCCTACGTCAAAGAGTGTTGGCACAGAGTGGGTGGTCAAAACATATTTGTTCAGTGAATGAATGTAAAACTAGGTATGGGAAAACCAGAAATGGTAACTGAATTTTTTTACTCTATAACAGATAAATGTTTTTGTAATGTCTTGCCTTTTATACAATTTCATGTTCTTCACAGATCATCTCTTCCTTGTTCTGAATATCTCTGGTTTTCTCTACTCTTTTCATAGGTTGTCTTGAGTTCCCTTTTCAACTTGGTCACTTACCTCTGAGTACACTTTGATAAAGTCACTTAGCACACAGTATTGCATGTCTAATGGAATCCTTAAGGAGAAGCTGAGGCATGTCACCTCTTTACGGCAGACATTATAATTCTATTTAGAATCATGTCACCATTTAACTCCCACTGTCTAAGGAATTATTCTTTGTCACAGGCGCACAATCGGGTAGATCTCGCCCAGCCTTTATTTATTTACTTTTCTTTTGGTTTTAGAGAATTAAATGTAGTACTTTTTATTTTTCCCTATTAAATTTCAAGGGTAAAATTTGGTTGCTCTTCCTGGACTGCTAGAGATTGCTTTTTTCGTCTTTGTTCTGACTTTTCATTTGTTGGTTTCATTTCCCCATTTTGCTCAGGAAGTCTTCACAGTAACTGAATTAGTTCATTAGCAACCTTTGGGTATATTACAGAAATTATGGGTCTAACTATTAAAATTATTGAACTCTCTCCAATTCTTCATCTTATTCACATGGATGTTATTTTAGAGACATTTTCAAAAATGCCTTTTTGAAATCTTCCTATAATATATTTCGTTGTATTTCTCTGATCTGTTGCTATTGTTCTTTGTCATTGTTTTTATTCATAGAAGGAAACAGTGTTTCTCAATGAATTTTTACTTGCTTCTAGTGATTATTACTTCTTTTGGAATAGTCATATACCATCCACTACTCAGTCCTTGACTTTTGCTTGGCCGTACAGTCCATAATTGATAAAATTTCTTTTATTTCCCCTTTCAAAAAATAGGATAGCTGTCTGCTTTAACCTTTTTTATAACAGCTTTATTGAGATATATTTCACATACCATACAGTTCACGCATTTAAGGTATTCAATTCAGTGGTTTTTAGTATATTCATTATGTATGACCATCACCACAGTCATTCTTAAACATTTTCACTTCTATTTTTTTTTCTTTTTTTCTTTTTTTCTTTTTTTTTGTCTTTTTTCGTGACTGGCAACGGATCGCAACCCTCAGTGTCGCGCCCGTACCGGACCGGGACCGGCCACGGGATCGCACCCCTCGGTGTTGCTCCCGCCCCTCGCTCAGCCAGTGAGCGGCCGGTCTGTATGTGGGATCCGAACCCTCGGCGGGAGCGCCACCACGCTTCCCAAGCGGCGCACAGTAGCAGTGCGCCACGGGGCCGGCCCAACATTTTCACTTCTAAAAGAAAGCCTGTATCTTTTAGCTATCATTCCTCTACCTCCCTTACCCCTCAACTCTAAGTAACCACTAATCTCCTTTCTGTCGCTATATGCCTTTAATCTTCAACACCTCTCTTCTACTGTAGGATTTCCTAGATATTAATGAGAATGGTCTTACTACTTGTCCAGTCTTCATGTGTTCAGTTCATCTGGTTGGGAGTCTTGAATTTATTTAGAGCAGCTAGATGCTTTCTTATTGTCACTTCCTTTCTGGACTGAGTATTATTTTTCTGAATTTATTCACTGAACAAATATTTTTTTTTTTTTTTATTCCTTTTTGTCTTTTTTACTGACCAGTAACGGGATCGCAACCCTCGGTGCTGCGCCCGCACCGCGCTCAGCCAGTGAGCGGGAACCGGTCTCCACATGGGATCCGAACCCTCGGCGGGAGCGCCACCGCACTCCCAAGCGGTGCACTCTCCAGTGTGCCACCGGGCCGGCCCACTGAACAAATATTTGAATGTCTCCTATAAGCAAAGCTTAATGCTTAGATGAGTAACATAAATTCTACCTTCATGAAGTTTATGTCTAGAAAAACATTTCCATCCCTAAATATAATTGTCAGCAAACATTTTGTAAATATTTGTCAGGTGCTTTGCTAGGTACTGGGCTGTAAAAGCAAGTAAGACACAGTTCTTTATAACAAGGATCCTTTGTGGTAGGAACAAGGCTGTTGTGAAAATAAGACTATATACCACACTATGTTGAATTCAGTGATAACAGAAGATTACTGGGAGTGAAAGAGATTAGTGAACTCTGTCAAGAACTAGGGGTTGTCATGCTCTACAAAAGAGGTCCATCTTGAAGATAATTAAAAGACAAGCATAGTATGTTTAAAGGCATTGAGAGCTTTAAAAAACTACATCCGTGAAGCTAATTTGCTATGGCTCAGGTATCAAGTTTAGTAGAGGACTTAGCAGGAGATGAAATAAGTTGATGTCCTATCATGGAGGGCTTTGTATGTACTGCTAGAGAGTTTTGGAATTTATTTGTTGCTTTTAAGTTTTTGAGTAGGTGAGTAATGTGCTCAGGTGTTTTTTTTGTTTGCTTTTTCCCATATTATACAAAATAAAATGACAGCTGGATTTGCAGAAAACTGCTAGGGATCCTAGTTGTCATAGTCTGCTCAGTCTGCCATTACAGAATAACCATAGACTGGGTGGCCTAAACAACAGAGATTTATTTCTCACATTTCTGGAGGCAGGTAAGTCCAAGATCAAGATGCTGGCCCGTTTGGTTCCTGGTGAGGGCTCTCTTCCTGACTTGTAGATGGCCAGCTTCTCACTTTGTCCTCACGTGGCATTTCCTAGTGGGGATTGAGGGGTATCTTCCTCTTCTTATAAGGTCACTTATCTCATTATGAGGGTGCCACCCTCATGACCTAATCTAATCGTATAACTTCGTATAATGTATGCTATACGAAGTTATTACGTATTATATAGTCAATATTAGGATTCATGAAAGCCAACTCTTGGTTCAGATTCTAGCTCTGTTGTTTGCTAGCTTTGTGACTCTTGGCAAATTAACACATCTAAGCCTTTTTCTCACCTAATTTACAAAGTTATTGTGGGGATAATATCATTATTATTTATAAAATACTTAATAGTGTTTAAAAATATATTAATGTTTCTGTACCTTCACGTATCCATTTAAGTGCATTTTGAAATTTGTGTACCAGAATTTTAAAAAAAAAAATTGCTTTGGAGGGGATCTTAGGTCCTCTTAACCAGCCCCTAAGGAATAAATATCTTCAAATTTTTGCTTCAAATAATAATTTCCATAAAAGATTATTATTATGAAATAGACAAATACTAAATACAAAAATTTCAAAACTCATTGTTGTGTTACTATCAGAATCAACTGAAGAATTTAATTAAAACAACAACAACAACATTATTTTGGGTCCCATGCATACATAGTAAGAGTCATCGAGCCTCTGAATCCCCAGATGTTTCTGATTTGTGCACGTTTAAGAATCAACAATTAGAAATCTAATTTCCTTGGATACAAAATAGTGGAAGCCACTCAGATACTTTTGAACTTTTAGAGTCTGAAATATTTCTTTGGCAGATAAAAAACCAACAGGAATGAATTTAATCGTTAAAAATAAATCCTGTTTTCCCTAATATGATCATCGCACATGGTGTGAATGTACCCAAATGTAATATTGTACTCCATAAATATATACAATTATCAAGGGTCAATTAAGAAAAAGAAGTTAGGGGGCTGGCTGGTCAGCTCAGTTGGTTAGTGCACAGCCTTTTAACATCAAGGTCAAGAGTTTGGATCCCAGTACTGGCCAGCTGCCAAAAAAGAAAAAAAAGGGAAAACTTTTGAATGTTTTCACACCACAGAAATCACTAGAAGAATTTCAAGATGTGTAAGTGTGGTAATTAAAATTTTGTTATGTTAGTACATTATTTTTAGATTGTTGCTGTACCCTTTAGCTGTCATCTTTTTTCACCCATGAAGTTACATAGTCATGGAGCTCATGGATGCAAATCTTTGCCAAGTGATTCAGATGGAACTAGATCATGAAAGAATGTCCTACCTTCTCTATCAGATGCTCTGTGGAATCAAGCACCTTCATTCTGCTGGAATTATTCATCGGGTTAGTAGAAAAAAACTGTCATCATCTTTTTTTATAATTGAGGTGAAATTCATGTAACAAAATTAACCATTTTAAAGTGTGCAATCCAGTTCCTTTCAGTACATTCACAGTGTCGTACAACCACCACCTATATCAAATTCTAGAATATTTTCAACACCCTGTAAGAAAAACCAATATCCCTTAAGCACTCACTCCTCATTCCCCTTTGTCGCCAGCCCCTGGCATCCTACCATTATTCTTTCTATGTCTATGGTTTTTGTTCTGGATATTTTGTATAAACGGAATCATTTAATATGTGAACTCTTGTTTCTGGCTTCTTTCACTTTTTAGCATGTTTTCAGGGTTTGTCCATGTTGTAGCATGTATCAGTAGTTCATTTTTTGTGTCACTGAATAATGTTCTATATACCACATTTTGTTTATCTCTTCAGCCACTGATAGTCATTTGGGTTGTTTCCACCTTTCAGCTATTATGGATAGTACTGCTATGAAAATTTGTTGTATCTATTTTCAGCTCTTTTGGATCTATGCATAGGAGTGGAATTGTTGGGTTATATAGTAATTCTATGGTTAACTTTTTGAACCATCAAACTGTTCTCTACAGAAGCTGCACCATTTTACCTTCCCAACAGCAATGTACAAGAGTTCCACTTTCTCTACAGTCCTTGCCAGTACTTATCTGAGCTTTTGATTCTAGCCATCCTAATGGGTATGAAGTAGTATTTCATTGTGGGTTTTTTTTTTTTTTGTCCTTTTTGTGACCGGCCACACCGCGCTCAGCCAGTGAGTGCATCGCACCGGCCATCCCTATATAGGATCCGAACCCATGGCGGGAGCGCTGCTGCGCTCCCAGCGCCACACTCTCCCAAGTGCACCACGGGCTAGGCCCTCATTGTGGTTTTGATTTGCATTTTTCTAATGACTAATGATGTCGAGTACTAGTAGTAAGTGCACCATGGGCTCGGCCCTCATTGTGGTTTTGATTTGCATTTTTCTAATGACTAATGATGTCGAGTACTAGTAGTTGGCCATTTGTATATCTTCTTTGGAGAAGTGTGTATTTAAGCCCTTTGCCCAACTTTTAATTGAGTGGTTTGTCTTTTTGTTGTTGTAGTTGTTCTTCATATACTAGACTCTCATCAGATATATGATTTGTAAATATCTTCTCACATTCTGTAGGTTGTCTTTTCACTTTGCTGATGATCTCCTTTAATACACAAAAGTTTTTAATTTTCATGAAATGAAGTTTATCATTTTGTTGTTGTTGTTGCTTGTGGTTGTGGTGTCCAGTATCTAAGAATCCATTGTCAAATCCAAGGTCATGATGATTTAGCCTTGTGTTTTCTTCTAACAGTTTTATAGTTTTAGTTCTTACATACAGGTCTTTGATCCATTTTGAGTTAATTTTTATATATGATGTGAGATGAGAGTCCAACTTCATTCTTTTGTATGTGGAAATCCAGTTGTCTCAGAGGCATTTGTTAAACAACTATTTTTACCCCCACTGAATGGTCTTGGCACCCTTGTCAAAAACCAGTTGGTCATAGATACATGGTTTCAAAGAACAGAGATTTCTGAATGCTCACTTCTATTCCATTGGTCTCTGTCTGTCCATATACCAGTACCACATTATTTTGATCACTGTAACTTTGTAGTAAGTTTTGAAATGGGAAAGTGTCAATCCTCCAACTTTGTTGTTTTTTTTCAATATTGTTTTGGCTATTTGAGGCCCCTTGTGATTTCATATCAATCATATGGGTCAGCTTTTCCGTTTCTGCAGAAAAAGACACTGGAATTTTAATAAGGATTTCATTGGATCTGTAGATTGCTCAGCTAGTTTTGCCATTTTAAGAATATTTAGTATTCCAATTCATGAACACAGGATGTCTCTTCATTTTCTTAGGTTGTATTAGTCTGCTTGCCCTGCCATAACAAAATACCGAAGATTGGGTGGATTAAAAAACAGAAATTAATTTTTTCGCAGTTCTGGAGTCTAGAAGTTCATGATCAAAGTGCCAGCAAATTTTGTTTCCCTTGAGCCCTCTCTTCCTTGCTTGCAGACAACTACCCTCTTGAAGTGTATGGAGAGAGAATGCTTCACATTCCCTTTCTTTTCTTAGAAGGGCACCAGTTCTATTGGATTAGGGCCTCACCCTTATGACCTCATTTTAACTTTACCTCCAAATACAGTCATTGGGGTTTGGCGCTTCAACATATGAGTTTTGGGGGGACACAGTTTAGTTCATAACATAGGTCTTCTTTAATTGCTTTCAGCAGTGTTTTGTAGTTTTCAAGTGTACAAGTCTTTCACCTTTTTAGTTTACTCCTAGGTGTTTTATTCTTTTGGAAGCTATTATGAGTGGAATTGTATTCTTACTTTCTTTTTCAGATTGCTTATTGCTAGTGTATAGAAACACAACTAATTTTGGTGTGTTGAGCGTATATTCTGCAACTTTGCTCAATTTATTAGCTGTAATAGTTTTTTAATAGATTTTTAAAATGATTTTCTGTATATAAGAGCATATCATCTGTACCCTAATTTTACTTCTTTCTTTCCAATTCAGGTGCCTTTCTTTTTTTCTTTATTCTTTATTCTTTATTCTTTATTTTTTCTTTTTCTTTCTTTCTTTCTTTCTTTCTTTCTTTCTTTCTTTCTTTCTTTCTTTTCTTTCTTTCTTTTCTTTCTTTTCTTTCTTTCTTTTCTTTCTTTTCTTTCTTTCTTTTCTTTCTTTTCTTTCTTTCTTTTCTTTCTTTTCTTTCTTTCTTTTCTTTCTTTTCTTTCTTTCTTTTCTTTCTTTTCTTTCTTTCTTTTCTTTCTTTTCTTTCTTTCTTTTCTTTCTTTTCTTTCTTTCTTTTCTTTCTTTTCTTTCTTTCTTTTCTTTCTTTTCTTTCTTTCTTTTCTTTCTTTTCTTTCTTTCTTTTCTTTCTTTTCTTTCTTTCTTTTCTTTCTTTTCTTTCTTTCTTTTCTTTCTTTTCTTTCTTTCTTTTCTTTCTTTTCTTTCTTTCTTTTCTTTCTTTTCTTTCTTTCTTTTCTTTCTTTCTTTCTTTTTTTTTTGCCTATCTTCTCTGGCTGGAACTCCCAGTGAAATGTTGGATAGAAATGGTGAAAAGTGGGCATCTTGTCCTATTCCTGATCTTAGAGGGAAGGCTAATCTTTCACCATTAAGTATTAGCTGTGGAGTTTTCATAAATGCTCTTTTTCTGGTTGCAGAAGTTCCATTCCGTACTAGAGTTAGTCATATTGTATAGTCAGAGGACACAGAACTCACAAGACTGCCCTTAATTCAAATACAAGCCACAAGTTCTGGGGTCCCCAAGACCACCCTCACTTCAGAGCAGCTGACTACAAATTCTTGGGTCCCCACAACCACTCTCAGGTTGGATACTTCACTGGAATGACTCATAGAACTCTGGAAAGTGCTATACTTATGGTTAATTTTGTTATAGCAAAAGGATGCAAGTTAGAACCAGACAAAGGAAGAAATTCATAGGACAAAATCTGGGAGAAGTTCAAACATGGAGCTTCCTGTTGTCCTCTTCTCTCAGCCACAAAGTATGACAATACACCCAGAGTATTGCCAACCAGGAATACTCACTCAAGTCTTTGGTGTTCAAAATTTTTATTGGTGCTCATCACATACTGCTCACCTGGCTGACTTTAATCGCCAGCTATTCCTGAAGTTCATGCTAATACCTTTAGTCTGCAGTTCCTCCAGAAGTTGGAACTGATATGTGTCTCAAAGCCCCCATCATAAATCGCATTGTTAAACTGTCCCATGGCTGAAGTCTCAGGCAAACAAAGACAGTCCTATCAGGCAGGACATTCCAGGGGCCTAGAGGGCACCTGTAGCTGAGGGCAAAGGCCAGACCTCTCTACTTAATTCTTTACCACATACCTTTTATTCCTAGCTTAAGTGTTTTTATCATGAAAGGGTGTTGGACTTTATCAAATGCATTTCTGCATCAGTTGAAATGATCGTATGTTTGTTTTTCCTTCATTCAATTAATGTGGTGTTATTATTATGGATTATTATCTGTTGAACTATCCATGCATTTCTTGGATAAATCCTATTTGGTCATGGTATCCTTTTAATATACTATGGGAATTGGTTGGCTAGTATTTTGTGGAGAATTTTTGCATCTGTGTTCGTAGGTGATATTGGTCTGTAGTTTTCTTGTGATGTCTTAATCTGGTTTTTATATCAAGGTAATGCTGGCCTCAGCACAATTTAGGAAGTATTTCCTCCTTGTTTTTGGAAAAGGTTAAGAAGGATTGGTGTTGATTCTTATTTAAATGATTGGTATAATTTGCCACTGAAGCCATCTAGTCCTAGGCTTTTCTTTTTTGTGAGATTTTTGATTATTGATTCACCCTTTTTACTTGTTACAGGTCTGTTCAGGTTTTCTGTTTCTTGAGACAGGTTTGGTAATATTGCATCTTTCTAGGAAATTGTCCATTTTATCTAGTTTATCTATCTTGAAATCCTTTTTATTTCTGTGAAGTAAGTGGTTATATCCTCATTTTCATTACTGGTTTTAGTTATTTGTATCTTCTCTCTTTTTGTCTTAGTAAGCTTAGCTAAAGGTTTGTCAGGTTTTGTTGATCTTTTCAAAGATGCAACTTTTGCTTTTATTGATTTTCTCTGTTGTTTTCCTATTCTCTATTTTGTTAGTCTACACTTTAATCTTTATTATTTCTTCCCATCTTCTTGCTTTGGGATTAGTTTATTCTTCTCTATTTTCTTAAGATTGAATATTAGGTTATTAATTTGAGATTTTTAAAAATGTTTTAATGTAGGCATTTACAGCTATAAAATTACCCTCTGAGCTCTGCTTTCTCTGTATTCCCTAAACTTGGATATGTTGTTTTTTCATTTTCATTTGTGTCAAAGTATTTTCTAATTTCCCTTGTGATTTGTTGTTTGACCCATTGGTTGTTTAGAAGTGTGTTCTTTAACTTAGACAGATTTGTGAATTTTCCAGTTTCCTTCTCTTGGTTTC